GGGGTAATGAACTTTTGAAATAGTGGCCGACCACAGTCAGAATGAAAGGATTAGTGAATACTATTGAGGGACTATCTCAGATTAGAACACCATAAATCTGCAGAGTGGTGTAATTGCTCCCGTAGCACTCATGAATGTGAGTACAAGAAAGGATTCTCTATAGCTTGGGTTCATGGTTGCATGTACTGTGTAAGAAAGGAGTTGCTGGAGAGCTGTGGGTGGCAAGCTGCTGGTGTCCAAACAAACTTCCAAGCACAACTAGGATACACGGAAAGATTAAAGGCACTAAAAGTCTAATTTTATTCTAAGCAAAAGAAGTGAAAGGAAAAGAGTTTATTGCATTTGTACCCTAACTTCACCCCACTGATTACATTAGTGAATGCTATTGAGGGGCTGGCTCAGTCCCAATGTAATCACCACAAGGATTACATTAGGGGTAAAATTAGGTTACACATGTAATAAACTCTTTTCCTTTCACTTCATTTTTTTTACCTTATTTCTTCTTTACTGTTGTTTTCCCACTTATTTTACATTGTCTTATTATTTTGTAAAACATGCTTTAGATACAAGGCCAAGTATAAGCAAATAAAAGGAAACTAAAAACACAGATGATCAAATAGAGGTGAGTGTTACTTAAGCAAGGGAAACTGAAAAAAACAGAAAAGCTTTTTACTTTTTTCTTTTTTTGAGATAAGGTCTCACTCTGTTACCCTGGCTGGAGGGCTATAGTGCAGTGGCATGATTTCAGCTCACCGCAACCTCCAACTCTCAAGTTCAAGCGATTCTCATGCATCAGCCACCTGAGTAGCTGAGACTACAGACGCCCACCACTACGTCAAGCTAATCTTTTGTATTTTTTTTGTAGAGATGGAGTTTTGCCATGTTTCCCAGGCTGGTTTCAAACTCCTGGGCTCAAGAGATTCATCCTCCTCCACCTCCCAAAGTGCTGGGATTACAGGCATGAGCCACCATGCCTGGCCTTGCTGAGTTGTTTTAATTGAAGTGCTGGAGGTGCTCAGGAGGCTTTGTGGTTCATGTAGTAGAGTGGATAGAAGTTTATGGAGGTCATAGAGGTTAGGGTTGGCTCAAGCTTCTCAATCTGGGCTAATTTTGCCCTGAGGGGACATTGGTCAATGTCTTAAGACATTTTTATCATAACTAAAGATGAAGTGCCAATGGCGTTTGGTTCCAGAAATGCTGCTAAACGCCCTACAATGCAAAGCACAGCCGTCACCGCTCCCCCAATAAAGAATTACCTGGATCCAAATGTCAGTAGTGCTGAAGTTAAGAAACCCTGGATTACATAAATTATTTGCAAGAATGATGGATGAATAAGAATGCTAGGAAATTACTTGGAGAACTTGAAGACAGGGTCAGAGAAGAAAGAACCACCTGGAGCATGTGCATGCCAAGTAATGTAAGGTTCGTGTGGGTATTGGTTTATGAGGGAATGCAAGAATCATTAATTGGAAAGATCCATGAGGAACTGGATTTGTGGTACAGAGTTGCAAATGATTACTGGGTTAGCAATTTTGTAAAGCAAATGAAGGGAGCATGAAAGCAAGGGAATGTAAAGAAAGAGTATGCTATTTTCTACTTGCTTTTGAAAAGTCAACTTTCGGTTATCCTCAACTAGAGTTTGTAGTTCCTTCCATTGAAGTTTCCAGATGAATACAACAAAGGTCAATATTGGTTTGGAAAGAATCTATCCCTAACAGAGAAACGTTACATGTGAAGTCTTTGCCTCATAACCTTCACCAGCCTCTGCAACTCTAATTTTCTTTCTCTTTCTTTGTCTTTCTTTCTTTTCTTTCTTTCTTTCTTCCTTCAATTTTCTTTCTTTCTCTTTTTTCTTCCTTCTTTTCTCTCTCTCTCTTTCCTTTTTTTGGTTTTCCTGTAACAAACAACACAAGCTGCCTTTTTGTGGTTAACCTTATAGAGCTAACCATCAATTCTTTCCACAATACAGCATGTAATAAACACTCTCTGCTTTGTTTAATTAAGAAAGAGCTTCCTCCAGCCTGAGAAACAAGTAAGAGTTTGTCTCTACAAAAAAAATTAGAAAAACAAAAAATTACCCAGGTGTGGTAGTACAGCCTATAGTCTCAGCTACTTGAGAGGCTGAAAAGTATCACTTGAGCCTGGGAGGCTGAGTGAGCTGAGATCCTGCTACTTTGCTCCAGCTTGGGCAACAGAGAGTGACCTTGTCTCAAAGAAAAAAAAGATAGATAGATAGATAGATAGATAGATAGATAGATAGATAGATAGACAGACAATAGATAGATAGACAGATAGAGCCTCTAAACAATTGTGAGCTTTACTTCATATTTCTTTTAATAATCTAATATTGGACACATTTCCTTTAAATGATATACTGCTTACTTACAACATCTGTCTTTTGGAAGACTGAAAACCTTGCAATACTTAATAGATTTTGAAATCTCTTAATTCAAATTTTGTTTTGTTTATTTGCATGACCAGATATTTACTTTACATTGACTTATCCTCAATGAAAACAAAATAACTCAACTACTTTTTCAGCATACAAAATTGGCTAAATCTCTCAATTCCAACCACTAAAGTCAAGGCTGAATGACTTTTAAGATAACATCACTTTATATGATGAATTCTAAACTATAAATGAATTGCAAGAAAACAGGCAGGAGTATTTGGGCCTTCAACATTTCCAGACTCCTGTGCTCAGAACCAAATATTGAATGAAAATATTCCAACCTGATTACCATAAAAAATCCTGATCACTCATTTGTTAATGATCGCACAAAACTGATTTGATTTCCAAGTCTACATATTTTCTAATAAAAATGCACATAGACCTATGCCTTTAATACTACATCATTTCATATACTTGTAGTAACTATATCATCATTTCTAAAAAATAATATTTTTTTCTTTCTGGTGAAACTGAAACTGATTTTATATAGATTTACAACATGTATCTTAATTAATAATGATTTAGAAAACTTACCATCAGGTGTTGTATTTCATTACCTTTGTTTTTAGTTGGTATTATGTGAAGAAAAGTGACATCTATCTCTTTTGTGTAAATTATGTAGTGCAAAGTTATTAGGTTTATTTTAAAATTCTGCCTCTACTTATACTGTCTATTCCCTTTCTTTTTTCCTTTTTCTCCATGGTACTTACAACCATCAAACATAATACATAATTAATTTTGTTTTTTTATTACCTATTTCCATCCACCAGAATGTAATTTCCACTCAGGCAAGAATATTTTATTCACTGCTGTCACTCCCCAGCAATCCCCTCATACCCCTATGCACATAGTAGGCACTTGACAAATATTTGTTGTATGATTATGGTTGGTTATATAAATTAATTTAGCTACTTTCCTAATAACACAATGAAGCAAGGGATATCTTCACTGGTTTTTCAAAAAAGAAGTCTACTATTTTAAATTACTTTACTTGCATTAGGTTCTTAAGACACTACCCTTTTAAAAAGCTTTTCTTGAGAAGCAGAGGGCTGTGCAACTTCATTTCAAGCTGAGTCTGCACTCCCACCCATTTCAAATCCCTGTACTCACCTAGCTACTATTTGCATATGATCCCTTACAGACTTATAGCATTCAATCCCTTTCAAATCTACATGTCTTTCTAGGTTATTGGGGAAACGATTTAATTCTCTGGTGAGCTTAATAAAGAAATCCAATGTACTTGAATTTAAAAAATGTTGTCAATGCCACCTTTGTTCTTTTCATAAGTGATTGCACAGTATTTTCTATAACATTAAATTTGCAGTTGTGGCAAGAGACTTTTCTTTCCTAGAATCCCATATTTCTTACTTGTGCTGTACTGGAAGAGCTACTTTAATAAAAAATCAGTTGGGTGTGGGTTGTAATGGAGCAACATTCTCAGTGGTATAAACTCTCAATATTCTAGGCTAATAAGAGCTTTAATGTGAAAATACAAATAATCCCCAAATAATCCCCATTTAGCTTTAGAAATAATTACTTACACTTTTTAAATCTGGCTTGTCTTTTTAATTATGTGTTGCTTGAGTTAATAGTAAAATTAATTTTTGCATAACATATTGGTTGGGAAATATTTGAGAATAGGGACCATATCTTATTCATTTTGCAAGAGCCATAGTGTTTTGCCCATTGCTTTGCATATGGTAAGTTATAAATAAATTACTATACCCTTGGAAGTATGAGAAAAAGATACAGATATTGAAGACATGCGTGCCCAAGACAATCCAAATGAGAGATAACTATTTTTTTCATTTAAAATTATGAATATTTGATATTGGGCTCCACAATATAAACACATCAAAAATCATGTACTTTTTCAAGGCATTCCATTATACTAAACCACTTTAACCTACGTGTATAACTTTTAAATGAATATTGTACATTAATTTGTTATTACAATAAACTGCTTAATAATGAGTAGGCACATTCTTCTTTTCCAGTTATATGATCCTAAACAACTTAGAAAAGATTCCCCATATCCTCCTTTTCTTTCATATTAATCGCCATTTTATCGAAGCCACGTTTTCCAATGATAGCATTATTTATTTGGCTGTAGTTAAAGTAAGTCAGGGAATGGAATTCAAGTAATTTCGGAAGAATTGCTGATTAGCTATCCTTCTAAACTATGTGTATATGTGTGCATATTGCAGCCAAAGATACAAAAGAAATGAAAAATTCACTAAATAGGTTTATATTTAACAATCAGAAAGAAAAATTTATAGAAATGCCAATACTTATTTTTATGCTAATAGTACTACCCTTAGAAAATGAAACAAATTACAATAACCAGTAGTTATCTATTAAGACAGTTTTTTTATTGTCCCTAATGAAAATAAATTAATTTTTTTAATCTTGAGAACACTTTGTTTAAAACATGTATTTTAAGTAAGACAGTTTTTTCTTATTATCCAATTACACATCAACAACTTGAAACAGATGCACAGGTAAAAATCTGTAAAAGCATGATAATAATGATGTATAAGCTGCTGACCTTGAGATCTCAGGAACTCCGGTATTTTCCTGAAGATTCTATGCCTCTGAACGCATATTTTCAGTCTGTTATTTCCTCATATTTTCCTTAAAAAAGAAAATTCGTTTCAGTATGTTATGTGTTATGTTTTCAAAGAGTAAACTTACTATAAAGGTGCCAATATCATGATTACATAGAAGAAAATCAATAGAAATCTTAAACTATAAGTAAGGCATTAAATATAGAACTGAATAATCATATTGTATATAATTTAGCAAAGAAAGAATATTCTTATAATAAGGCTCATAGTTTAACTCATTTTTTATCTGGTTTTCAATTAACAAATATCATTTGTGACAATAAGTTAAAGATATATCCATTTTATTAACCAGCATTATACTAGACTTAAGCAACTTTCTAGGCTTCAGGAGATTCATATCTTCAAAACACACAAAAATCCAGGGAAATCAATCAAAATGTTTTAGCTTTTGACAGTCAAAAATCACAGTGAATATTTGTTACAGTTCTTGATTTGTTTGATTTGTTTAAAGGAAACTATTTATTTATAAAAGTAACTCAAATATTTATGGATTCATATTTTAAGATAACTTGGGCTTTAAGAAAATATACCAAATATTTTTTTAAATAGACGTATTTTAACAAAAATGTTGTTCTTTAAAATTACAGGGCCATCATTAGAAGTGATTAGTGCAACAATTTAGAGAGATAATAAAATCCTGGCAGTAATATACTTTCTATTTACCCAGACGAAAATGTATATGATCACTTTTTCTAAACCACTACTGAATTTCCACTCTCATATGTTAAGATGATATAATCAAGTCCATATAAAAATGTAAAAATTTTCTTTAAAAATGAGGTAGAGAAGCTTGTTCATTTATTATGTTTCCATAGTAGGCAGAACAGAGCTATCAATGATCATAGCCAATGACAATAGCTAGTGTAGAAATTCTACAAATATGTTACTGTACTTGAATAAACAAGTACCCTATACATGTAACTTATGCTGCTGTAATTTGAACAAATAAAATATCACAATCTTTAAGAAAAAAATTGTCTCAGGCAAATTGTGCCTCCAGGAGTCTCTTTTTTCCTTTAAATTTTATCAATAGCTACATAGATATGCTGGGATAAAGATTTGGAATAAACTGAATTATATGTGATGCAACAATAGCTCAGAAATATTACATTGTGATTGGAATTACAGAGCTAATAAAGATTATTGAGTCAGTTTGGTTCTGAGTAACCCCAGATTTGGTAGATGAACTTAAGATGAACTTAAGGAAACTCTGAAAAATTTGTTCAAAATTTAATTTTATTATTTTTAATAATTTTTAGATTAAAAAAATTGACAGATAACATTGTATGTTTTTATCATCTACAACATGTTTTGAAGTATATATACTTTATATAATAGTTAATTATAGCTAATTGATAAATATACTACCTCATATAGTTATCATTTTTGTGGCGAGAGCATGAAGCAACCTCTCTGTTTACATTTTTCAAAAATACAATATATCATCATTAACTATGGTCACCTTGCTGTACAATATTAGGTGTAATTTTAAATATCTTAAAATTCTATTGAGAACATTAGACATTCAAATGATGGCATACTGAAGACCACAGAAGATATAACTTGAATCACACTTTGCACTTATTTTGAGGAACATTTAAGAATAGAGCTTTTCCCGTTTTCTCTCTTAAAGGTGAATATGCTGAGATTACAGTCCAAGAAATTAAAAACCAACAAACAAGCAGCAAGCAAGCATACAAACTGATTTTCAACTGTTTGTGTCCACTGTACATAGACTTTAAAGTTATTAAATATTTGTGGCCAGGCATAGTGGCTCATGCCTATAACCACAGCACCTTGGGAAGCCAAGGTGAGTGGATCACTTGAGATCAGGAGTTCAAGACCAGCCTGGCCAACATGGTAAAACTTCGGCTTTACTAAAAATACAAAAAATAGCTGGGCATAGTGACTCATGCCTGTAATTCTAGCTGCTCAGAAGGCTTAGACACAAGAATTGCTTGAACCCAGGCTGCAGAGGTTGCAGTGAGCCATGATTATGCCATTGCACTCCAGCCTGAGTGACAGAGCAAGACCCTGTCTCAA